TTGGATTCTACCAGTTAAAATCTGAGGTGTTAAAAGCTCTCCCTGTAAACTTATTGGGGCACCCGTCAACCTCCTCCAGGTTGCCCGCTGCAAGGGACCCCGGTCTCAGCAGTTGAAGTCTCGGGTGTATAGCACGCACACACACACCAGGGCGTCTGAGAGCCTGTTGGCTGCCCTCTGTGACGAGACCCCGGTCCTAGCAGTAAAGTCACAGACATTAAACTATTTTTCGGGGTGCCCTCCAGCCTCCTAGGCTGCCCACTGCAACGAGACTTTGCGTCTCAGCAGTTGAAGACTTGGGTGTAACACATACGCACACACTGCCCTGACCATTTCGGCTGGCAGTGCACCACTTCAAATGCCCCACTTACAGCTCTGTCCAGTCAGTGCGGACCCTGACACATCACCCTGATGACTCCACTCATTGAGCCTAAGGCCATGCCACCTTTGTGCTGCTCCTGTGGTCTGCTGCTGCTACCTGCTCCCCGCTGGTCATTCCCGCCAGCTGCTCTGCTGGACACCTGCCACTGCTCCTATTGGCTATCCAATCTTGCTGGCTGCAATGGGTCTGGTTCCAGGACAAACCAGTGACTTCAGCTCTTAATGATTTCACTCTTGAGCCACCACCTAGGCTGCCAAAAGATTCCAGCTTCCACTGGACTAGCAAAAAGACACCTGATGGAGTCTGTTTCAGGTCTATCCTTAAAACAAGGGGGAAAGAGGCAAATTGAACCAGTCTTACAGCTCACACATGGCAGGCATGAAGCAGGCTGGCTCAAGCCCTTCCCCTGCCACCCCCAACACATTTCACTCAATTCTGGAAGGGGGAAGCTTGTTCATCTGAGACCTCTTACAATGATGGTGTGTCTCCTGCAAGCACTGGTGTCATATTTTACAGTTCTCACATTTAGGGGTAGCATGACTTGTGACCCCCGCAACAGTCCAAATTAGATACAATACATCACATTCCATTCTAACAACCAATCCTCCATCAGTCCTGGCTGAATTGGATTTATGTAACCACACCTCGGATTCCTTCCCCATCCTGACATGAGCTGTATTTACATATCAGCAGTTAACATTTAATTATCTCGCAGAGTTAAACAATTTGAGTGAGGATACCCACCCCAGGGGCAGCTCTCTCCTTTTAGCTGGCTGCTAGCAAGTAGTAGCTCTGCCCCTGCTTACAGAAAAAATTCTACTTCCTCCACACCAGTTATGATTTTATGGACAACTGTCCTGTTCCTCTTAGTCATCTCTTTTTTTTCAGGCTGAAAAGTCCAGGTCTTATTAATCTCTCTTGCTTAAGAGTCAATGGTGAGGAACCATATGGAAGCTCGTCTATGCCTTCAATTTTGTTGCCCTTTTCTATCTTTTTGAATTCCAATTTATCTTTTTTTGAGATGGGGCAACCACATCTGCATGCAGTATTCAAGATGTGGGGGTATTATGGTTTTATATGCAATCTGACTGATACTTTTCTATTTTCTCTTTCTTAATGATTCCCAGAATTCTGTTAGCTTTTTTGACTGCTACTGCACATTGAGTGGACGTTTTCAAAGAACTATCTACAATGACTCCAGCATCTTTTTGCTCAGCAATAACAGCAAATTGAGACACCATCATTTTGTATGTATAACTGGGATTATATTTTCAAATGTTCATTACTTTGCATTGATCAACATTGAATTTCATCTGCCATTTTGTTGTCCAGTCATCAAGTTTTGTGAGATCCCTTTGTAGTGTATCACAGTTTGCTTTTGAGTTAACTATCTTAAGTAGTTTTGTATCATCTGGAAATTTTGCCATGTCCCAGTTTACCTTTTCCAGGTAATTTATGAATATGTTGAACAGTACTGGTCCCAGTATAGACCCCTGGGAGACACTGTTTTTTACCTGTCACCATTCTGAAAACTGACCAATTTATTCCTACCCCTTGTTGCCTATCTTTCAACTAGTTACTGGTCCAGGAGAGGACCTTCCTTCTTACCCCATGACAGCTTACTTTGCTTGGCGATGGACCTTGTCAAAGACTTTCTGATAATCTAAGTATATTATATCCACTAGATCTTTCTTGTTAACATGTTTGTTAACCCTCTCAAGAATTATGGTAGATTGGTGAGGCATGATTTCCTTTTAGAAAAAAACACGTTGATTCTTCCCCAACAAATCATGTTCATCTATGTGTCTCATAATTCTGTTCATATATCTGTTTGATCACTTCATAAATTGCCCCATTCTTTCACTCCATCTGAAGCATCTGGTACCTACCACTGTTGCAAGACAGTATACTGGGCTAAAAGGACCATTGGTCTGACCCAGTATGGTCATTCTTTTGTTCTCATTATTTAAGCATGCCATACCATAATTTTCATTGGAAATAATGACACAATTTAGGACAATTCTACTTTGTTTCACTATGAACAGATCGAAATTCTCAAGAAGCAAGTATACATTTTCTTTATCAGTAAGTATTGTAGTACAGCTGTTAAACCTCCTAAAAAATTCCAAAGCAATCAGCTGGCTTTATTGGCCTTAGACTTAGAGCATATATTAAGGATACAGATTTTTTGTGTGTGTGAAGTGAAAGTGTGTTTACTATTTAACTGATTTGGAAAATACTTCAATCACATTTAAGAAGGTAGCACATAACTGATTTAATAGAATGAATATTAAATATGGGAAGATTGTTTTTGTTTTGTTTTTAATAAGGAATGTTTTCTTTGATAAACTCAGATTAGCAGCTTCTCAAAAAGCCAGAACACTGGCGATGCTTTTGTTGCTTCACTGGCTACTTGCATTTTCTTTTCTCCCATAAGTGCTTCCCAAAATGAAAACAAGTGGAAGCAAGTTTCCCCTCTGTTGCATGGTAAGGGGGCATGTTATAAATGCATTATGTGGAACATTTACAGCGTTTTCTTGAAACCTGAAATCACAAAATAATTTTCAAACGTAACTAACTTGGCATCAGTATTCTAGGTTATCTGAACAGAAGCTAACCATTTAAGTGGAAAAACTTAAACAACAAATAAAATAACCAGCAGCACCTGTTATACCCATGAAAACTCATTTATCTATATTTTTTGTTAGTCTGTAAGGGTAGGTCTACACTGCCACCCTAGTTCGAACTAGAGTTGCCAATGTGGGCATTCGAACTTGCAAATGAATACCGGGATTTAAATATTCCGGGCTTTATATGCATGTTCCCGGGCGGGCACCATTTTTAAATTCCCGTAGTTCAAACTACCTGCCCGCGGCTACACGCGGCGCGGACTAGGTAGTTCGAATTAAAGCTCCTAATTCAAACTACCGTTATTCCTCCTTCAAGGAGGTTTAATGGTAGTTCAAATTAGGAGCTTTAATTCGAACTACCTAGTCCGCGCCGCGTGTAGCCGCGGGCAGGTAGTTTGAACTACGGGAATTTAAAAATGGTGCCCGCCCGGGAACATGCATATAAAGCCCGGAATATTTAAATCCCGGTATTCATTTGCAAGTTCGAATGCCCACATTGGCAACTCTAGTTCGAACTAGGGTGGCAGTGTAGACCTACCCTTACAGACTAACAAAAAATATAGATAAATGAGTTTTCATGGGTATAACAGGTGCTGCTGGTTATTCATTATTTTTTAGGTTTTTTTCAGTTAGACTAAGGCTATGTCTATACTGCAGGAATTTTCTGGTATACTGGAGGTAGCCCGGAAAAACTTTGCCACGTCCGGGGAACGCGTCTGCTCTTCCACCTTTTTTTTGCGGAAGAGTAAATGCGCTCTTTTGGAAGCCCTGTCTTCCGAAAGATGACGCTTTTTTCAAATTTGGCCCAGTGTAGATCGGCCAAAGTTTTGAAAAGGCTCTGCGAAAAAACTATAGGAAAAGGATACGTGAATTGCAGAGTGCAATTTGTGTACCTTTTTCCGCCAGATCAGTGTAGTCTAGACATAGCCTAACACAGCTACCCCTCTAAGGGTATGTCTATACTGCAAAATTAATTCGAAATAACAGTTATTTGAAATTAACTTTAATAGCGTCTATACATTCAAACCACTATTTCTAAATTAATTCGAAATAGCGGAGCACTTAATTCGAATTTGGTAAACCTCATTCTACAAGGAGTTATACCAAATTTGAAATAGCTATTTAGAATTAAGGGCTGTGTAGAGCCTTGGTGGCCACTCTGGGCACAACCAGGAAAACTTACTCTCCTCTGCCTCTGCCCCGGAGCCATTAAAGGGGTAGACCCTGGACACAGTGCCTGTGCCAGCTCCGAGCCTGCCAGCCCAGAGCCAACAGTGCAGGCAGGGCCCACCGGGGCCCCTGACCCAGTGGCCCCAAAACATGAGCCAGCAAGCCAGGCAGCCAGCCCTCCACCACTCCCCAGGAGCAGTCAACTTGGTCTGGCGAGACCCCCAACCCTGTGCCCTGAGCTTCTCCTCCCCCTTCTTCTCCTTGCTTCCCCCTTCCAGCTCCCTTCTCCCAGGTTTCCCCTTCCCCTCTCTCACCCTCACTCTTCCCCTAAGAAGAACCCTAAGAACTGTCTGTCCGGGGTGGGGGTAGGGTCCCTTTAAACACGGAGCTCAGTTAGCCTTAGGCAGCAGCCCCACACACTAAGTCCTAACCTGATGCCCTGCCAGCACTGGTTCTGGCCAGTCTTAACTTAGTTTCAGGATCCACTCAGTGTGGACACACTACTTCAAAATAGTAAAATGCTATTTTGAAATAGGGTTTGTGTGTAGATGCGTTAATTTGAATTAGCTTAATTCAAATTAACTATTTCGAATTAAGTTAACTCAAATTAACGCTGTAGTGTAGACATTCCCTAAGATATTTAAGTGTAGTTCATCTTATATCAGTTGATTCACGCATGTCCTTCTCCAACAAGAGAACACAAGCTTAATAGTATTCAGCAGCATGCCTTCCCTTTCCCCTTTTTTTAGTTTGCCTGTTAATTTTTATTCATTAAAAGTACCAATTTTCCACATGATATTCAGTAAAAAAAAAAAAAAAAAGAGGAAAAGATGCAGAAGATTTAACTATTTGCCCCCTTTTCCCACCTCCTCTTTATATTTACTATAATTGTTAAGGAACAAAATGCAGTTGTGAATTATAAATCTAATAGAATGGCAAGTGTGAATGATCACTTTTGGTTTAACCCACAACTATATTCTGAGTACATAGTGTGCTTTGGAACATTAGCTCTGAGTGCTTTTATGCAGTTCAGATGAATGGAACATTCTCTTCCGCTCCCACCCCCCTTCCCTCCAGATTCCTGTTTCACCTTTTAATAAATGTGGTTAATTTATTTTGTGTACTCTACAAAAACTAAGCTCTGTATAGTGATTTAAAGGGCCCAAAGCGACAGCCACTGCTGCTGCCACAGTAGCAGCGGTAGCTGCTAGGAGCAGTGGGCCCTTTTGAATCGCAATTGCTCTCTTTGCCCTCCCCTGTCAGTGGGCCTCAAAGAATAGAGTTTGGCTTATACAGTGATTATGCAATTCTAATTTCCCCCCCAATATGCCAGTTGGGAGAAAATAGAAACAGTCCATATGAAATAATAGATTTTTCTTCTCCTTAATTTTTAAAAAGTATCTTGCGGGTACACTTCTTAATGTAAAGTCTCCATTGGAGACCATAGAGGACTTTTAGTTACCCCAGATCCAATATGTGTTGTTGATGGTACAACTGTCATATCACAATAAATTCATCATTAGCAAGAACTGAAACAGAAATTTTCAAATGTCAAGTTATGTACTTTTATAAATGCCGAAGTCAAATAGGCATATTCAAATAAAATCCTTCCATCATGGTTGAAATAGCGACCAATACCACTCTTTTTCAGGAGTTGTCTAACAAGAGAGAGTGGAGTTTTTATAATAGTTTTAGGCAGGACATTATTATTTGAAAACGTAATAATTCTCTAGTTGTAATTTAGTCATCTGTCTCATGTGAAATGTCAATACGACGAGCTAACTACAATTACACAATAAGACAGTGAAGGACATTAACAGGAAACAATGAACTATGTAGGGAATCATTTAATCTTGAATGTGAAGGTTAATACTGAATCAAAACATACTTAATTGAACCCAACCTACATATTTTGAAAGTCCTCAAGGACTTCCATCATATGTGCAAACCACACAGTAATATGTTTTTGTAAACTGTTTTGCATTTGAGAATTGTATCTTAGCCAACATTTTTATTGTATGGAAAATATAATGTCTCATCTATGGAATTTCACTGAGTTGAGGCCTAGTGCTGTGCTGGAATTATAAGCTTTTCTTAAACTATGAGGCCAGGAGGGAAATGAACAAATATTGAAATACTGAGAGAGACAGAGGAGATTCTTTGTGCATGGTAACTGAAATAGAAGTGCAGTCCATAGTATTGCCAATCCCCCGAACTAGAAAATCATGATTTTAAAATCATGAGATTTTTTAAGAGAATACATTGTGTTTTTTTTCTTTTCCTTCTGATATTTGAGCCTTTGGGCGCATTTGGGTCATGTTCAAACTTTCTCTACAAGTAGGAGAGCTAGCTGAGATCCTCCCATAATCACATGGCTTCAGGGAGGCCCATCCCTAAAGGATTGCAGTACCCGGGACACCTCTCCTTCATCCCAGGTCCTGCTCCTA